CATAGGAGAGGAGCTTGATAGTTAAAGGCTCTGCCTCCCATTCTGGTTCTGTGGACTCTAGGGACCACAAGTAAACCTGCACTCTGAGAGCGAAGTGCTCTGTTAGGATGATAAGGCTCTACGAGGTCTTTAAGATACGATGGAGCCTTGTCATTAAGGGCTTTGTATGTTAGGAGAAGGATTTTAAATTCTATTCTGAATTTTACAGGGAGCCAGTGGAGAGAAGCTAATATGGGAGAGATATGATCTCTCTTGCTAGTTCCTGTCAGTACTCTGGCTGCAGCATTTTGGATTAACTGGAGGCTTTTTAGGGACTTATTGGGACATCCTGATAGTAAAGAGTTACAGTAGTCCAGCCTGGAAGTAACAAATGCATGGACCAGTTTTTCAGCATTTACACAGTTTGTCTTACCTCTGGCTGCTTAGCTTCGTACCATTTAAAGTTATTCACTGCACTTCAACTAATGACATGAAAAACTGAGGTGATGTAAAACTGGTGACTGGTTCTGTTGTCTCTACACTTTGTACAGATTAAACAAACTGGAAACACGATCATCAGCGGCTGGAGACTGTATATCCTCAGTAAGCAGAGCGCTCATTACTAATCACCATCTGGGTGTGTTTGTCTTTCTCACCCTGAGTTGGAGAGCCAGCAGCTTCAGCAGCATCTCCGCAGTGAAGAGTCCAGTAAACACCATGTTGAGGATGTCCATGGTGTCGCTGAAGGTTTTCGACTGTTCATAGTGCTGCAGGTGACAAACACTCCCAGTCAGACACACAACACATTTATTCCACCATGACTCAGCACTGGAATAATCACAGCAGGATTCACCTGGACAGCGAGAGTGACGGTGTTGAGCAGGATGAGGACGAACATGACGTATTCAAACCCTGTTGAGTTGATGATGTACCAGAACTTGTACTGAACCGGGTTCTTTGGGATGTAGAGCTTCAGTGGCTGAGCCTTCAGAGCGTACTCCACACACTGACGCTACAGCACACACACACACACACACAGTTCATCTACACTCAGTGGTCAGTTTATTAGGAACCCCTGTGTCAGACTGAGTTGGTCTAACTCAACATCGCTGCAGTAAACCCTCCTCAATGAAGGTGATGATGTTTAGACTGTGTCAGAGAGGTGTTGGTTCACCTGTGTGGCCACTGTGGAGGCTGCAGGTGGTGCTGCTGTTCAGCTGCACTATATCATTCATTGTGTAAACACAAACACCAGTGCTCCCTGTCTGTTCGCTCTGGGTTTGGTCTCCACCACCTCCCGAGGGAAACCTCTGGCTCTGGAGCTGCTAAACGCTCCACTGTCTTCCCCAGCTGGTCCCTGACTGGCCCTGTCTGCTGCAACCAGCAGACAGGGCCTCCTCTGAAAACAGCTGCTTCCTGCTGCACATTCAGCTCCCCTCAGCTCAGTGTTTAGTGTGGGACCACAGCTATAATCTGTCCACTGTCATAACATGGTTCTGGGCTGCAGCAGGAAGCAGCTGCTCAGTCACACGGACATTAAATGCTGGGTTCACTCACATCTACACACTGAAACATCAGTCTTTACAAAAGAGAAAGAATTCCACTGACAATGTTTTGCTTATTAAAATACATTTTTTGTGGTATATGCAGTATACATACACAGAGCAGTTTATTAGGTACACCTGTAGCTGAATGCAGCTCTGCCATAGCATGTCTTTATAAGGCTCATGGTGTTTCAGGTTGTAGTGAAACTGCTGGAAACTTATGAATTCATTGAGATCATTGTATTCAGAGGTGTTCTTAATATTCTGACCACCTCATGTATGTAAAGAGGAAGACTAAAACAAAGACATCATGGAACACAGTGTGGTTTCAGCTGTACCTAATAAACTGCTCTGTGTGTGAATGTGCTTAACTTCATTATTCTTTATTCTGTTCTTTATAATTTAGTCTGAATTAAGTGGTGTGTTGTCTTAATTTACATTTGCTGCAGCTGGTGAAATCAGGTGCCAAACATCGGCCCAAGATGGACGGACAGGTGAGTGTACCTGGTTCTTGTCCAGCTCACAGTTCTTGTACTCCTGCTCCCCTTGCTCTCTGAAGGTGATGATGACGAAGCCCACAAAGATGTTCATCATGAAGAAGGCAATGATGATGATGTAGACAATGAAGAAGACGGAGATTTCCACCCGGTAGTTGTAGATGGGACCAGTGTTCTCCCTGTTCGCGTCAATGGCTTTATACAGCAGGCTGCGGGGGGGGGTTTGGGGGGTTTAATATCTGTGTGTGGTCTGAAGCAACAAGCCGACTCCCTACAAACAGCAGAGTGAATGAAGCTGCTCTGAAGTGAGAACTCACGCAGGCCAGCCCTCGAAGGTGGACACGGTGAAGAGCGCCATCATCCCCATCAACACGCTGTCGAAGTTGAAGTCGCTGTTCTGCCAGATCCTCTCTCGGACCATGGGGTGAGTCACGTCTCCATCTTTGTACACAACAAACGTTCCTCTGCACACACAGTGGAATCTCCGTCACTTCAGGGGGCTTTACTGAGACATGCCCAGTATTTAGCCAAGTACAATACCACAGTGTAAATATACTGTTACAAGTAAAAGTCCCGCATTCAACATGTTACTTAAGTAAAAGTACAAAGTATCAGCATCCAAATGTACTTGAAGTACCAGCAGTACCAGTACTCGTCCTGCAGAACGGCCCGTGTCCCAGTAACGTCTCTGATACTGGATCATAGTGACTAATTACTGTGTCCATCACTTTAATGCTGCAGCTGGTAAAGGTGGAGCTGATGGTAACTACCTTATATACTTATACTGGGAAGTACTTTCCATCCTGCTGGGTAGCTGGTGGATTTCCTACTGGGATCAATAGAGTCTGATGGTTCTACTGGGTTTGGTTTGATTCATCTGGTTCTGGACCTGAAGGTATCAGGTACATGTAGTGTAGTAAAAAGTACACGGTTTGTCTCTGACATGGAGTCACAGGATGAAGTAGCAGGACATGGAAATACTCAGGTACAGATACCTCAGAATTGTACATACAGTACTTGATTGAAATGTCCAGTCATTTCCTAGAGACTTACCTAAGCCAACATTTAATGATTTATATTTTTTGTCCCCATAAGGATGCCGAGTTCCCACAGGGTTAGGGTAAACAGATGTATGTCCCCACAACATGAGAAATACCAGAGTAACACAATGATGTGTCAGTGTTTCGGACAGAAGTCAGCTTCGGTTTCAAGGAGGTCAACACTTACTTGCACTGTTCAGGAGTGTGTTTGGCCTCGTCTGTGCAGCGAAAGAATTTACCCTGAAACACCAGACACAGACACAAACAGCTGAGCATGGATGGATCGGGACTCGGCGGCCCCTCAACAGCCTCTGAACTACACTGACCATCAAATCTCAGGAAAAACATTTGGCTTTCTCTGAATTTTGATTGAATTCTGCCACTGCATGCACTACTGATTAGCATGACCCACTGAAGGACATTGTTCTCATCCTCCCTGTCCAGTAGTGATCAGTAAAGGACTTAATGTGACACTGTTCCTATACAGCACTGAGACTGTCTGACCTTGAAGAGCTGGACTCCGATACAGGCGAACATGAACTGCAGCAGAGCTGTGACGATCATGATGTTTCCAATGGTCCTGATGGCCATGAACACACACTGCACCACGTGCTGCAACACACACACACACACACATTAATACACAGTTTGGGATGTGGGGATGGGAAAAACACAGTTTCTTCTCAGGATGCTTCACACCGGCCCACGTCTTATTTCTGATGATGGTCGCCATAATGATGTAGTGGTTGAAAATAAACAAGGTTGCAGAGGTAATATGTAATAGAACAGTATGTAGTTCATATTTAGATAATACTTGTGTTAGTTGTGTAAGGATGTAAGGCTGAGCTAAGTGTGTACGGAAGCTTGATCTGTTTCTGGCGCAGGCAAGAATATCTTGGGCTGTGTCCCCCTTGTTTAACCTGTGGGTCAACATCCCGAGTGACTTCCTCCTCAGATAGGGAATGGATATACTGTAGCTGTAGCCTTATGTGAACTGTTCATGTGCTCTGTTCAGGTTTAGAAAAAGGAAATGTGCGCTAGGTCAATGTGACCTAGAAGTTCATGTACTGGACAGTTTAGACAACGCTAGGAAGAAGGTGTGTGTGGGTAGCTGGCATGGGACCACGTCTTCATGGCTCAGGCCATGGAGGGCTGTGTGAGTATGAGCAGATAAAAAGCTGGGTTAGAGCAGAAGAAGAGAAGAAGAGAGGATGACAATGCTACTGTGACAGGGAGAGTATACTTTGTGGGGAACCCAGCCGGCTGGGGGGACGCTGAATTAAGACCGACAGCTGACTAAGACTGACTGGCGCTCTGACAATCTTCCTATTTAATACTGTATCCATTCCATCTGTTCTCTGTTTCCCTAACTACAAGATTATCTGTTTGAATACTATATTCAGAATAATTGTAATATTAAATGATCACTTAAATTGGGATGGTTTGTCTGAATTAATTTAGTCGGCATCACACTCTAGCCACGACAATGATTAATCAACAGAATCACAACCGGCTGCTGATCCGGCTTCAAACCCACACACACACCATGAGGGACCTGTCAGCATGTGGGTACCTTGAGTCCTTTGGCTCTGTTGATGGCTCTCAGAGGTCTGAGCACCCTGAGCACGCGCAGGATCTTCACCACTGAGATCGCACTGGAGCTGCACGTACACACATACACACACAGGGTCAGTCTTGATAACACGCTGTTGTCATCTTCGCCCAGCAGAGGGCGGCAAGCATGCTCACATGTGCACACACACCAGCTGAAGAGCATCATCTAGTCACATTTTTGGACCATTTATTTCATGTAGCATCACCAGGTCGGGCAGGTTGTCAGCATCTGCACTGTGTTTTGTATGAAAATGGATCAATATTCCACATAGTGATCTAATCAGTAAAGAAAAAGGAAGCAGCTTTTGATACTGACTGCAGGAAGAAGGAGACCAGTGAGACGCTGACAACCAGCAGATCCAACAGGTTAAACCAGTTTCTGCAGAAAGAGCCTTGATGGAGGAATGCACCATGGACCGTCATCTGATACAGGGGCAGAGAAGATGGCAGCATCAAAGGAAGACCGAGACTAGGTCTGACTGAGGGGCTTCATCCTGGCTACAGGTGGGTTTACCTTTAACAGGATCTCCACAGTGAAGATGGAGGTGAAGGCGTAGTCTGCATAACCCAGAATCTGCACACACACACACACCAAGTAAACACTCACAGCACATAAACACTCAGCGTTTTCATTTGACACTTGGTGTACCTGTCAAGACTATCCAGTCCCAAAGCAAGGGTTAAGTCCTAAGTCAAGCTTAAAAAGTAGCTGCCTGCTATATCCTTCATGAAAATGGCTGCTGCACTGTGTGTGTGTGTGTGTGTGTGTGCTGCCATGATCAGACAGCAAACTGCTGGGTTTCTCTCTCCGTGTCTTTCCATCTTTAACCCACCAAGCCACTTCTGCTGTGAAGCTGTGCTCACCGGTCCCTTAGACAGAGGTGTTGGTGATGTCATCAGAAATCCAGGCACTGATTGGCTCTGAGTTTCAAACATGATTGCCCACAAGCCCCCAGACACCTGTGCCACCTCCGTTTGGACTCCACTGTTGGCTTAGATTTGCTGGCTTGAAGTTTGTCAGATACATTTACTTGCAGCTGTTTTGATTCAGCTAGTAGTAACGAACTCATTCACGCTAGGAGCTCATCGAATCAGTCGTTCTGACCTAATGACAATGTTTGATTTTAATTAGCAGACTGCGCTAGCATCATGTAAGCAGCAGCCACACTACACACATCAAACCAGACTGGTGTGCTCTTCTGGTTCTGAGACTCACGTTGTTCCTGAAGGAGTGAGCTCTGATTGGATCCTCAGCAGCCAATGAGCAGCTGCTGAGGATGATGAAGATGAGGATGAGGTTTGTGAAGATGTGGTGGTGGATCAGAGAGTGACAGGCCACGCGGATGCTGGAGACACAAAGAAAGAAAGCACATCAATCAAACTGCTCCTCTTCCTACGTAAGGTTTGCATTGATCTGTAAATGAACACGAGCCCCACGGTGTCTGCTGTCGACTGCTGCTTCTGAAAATCTCCTTCAGCGTTGCCCGCTGGCTGCTGTCAGAGCCTCATGGGAGCTGTACCCATTAGATGCTAACAGATGTCTTGACAATAATGAAATACTGAGGTGTTGAGATGTTCCTTCACTTCAGGAGACTTATGTAGACAAAACTTCAGATTTCACAAACAGTGACTGGAGAAACTCTTGAGGGGAGGAACAGAAGCTAATTGAACCAAGCTAGAAACAGCAACGAGAGCTTGATCGCTTATGCTAATGCAGGACCAAGATGCAAGGAAGTGATGCAAGTGAGGGAAATGTGGAATTGAGATGTAGGCACACATGTTGTAGACAGACTTACGGGTTTGTTTTGCTGAGGCAGAAGAACGCACTGCCTTCTGGGATTGGAAGAACCTTCTCTTTGGGAGGAGTAAGATCAGCCATCTTTAACTGGACTCCTCCTTTTGACAGGAAGAAGAAAATTGAATGATTGGTGCAAATATTCATCAAATACTGCTGATCACGGTGTGTGCGGGTGAATATTCAGGTTCAGTGAGGGGGCCTGTGTCGGACTGTGTTTGAGTGTCCCTCAGTGAAGTGCCAGCAGAGCAGCAGTGGGAGTGTGGAGGAACACACTCCTGCAGACACGACTCAGGGCTAAAACAAAAAGCCACTCACCCTCCTCTGCAGGTTTCGGGGGAAAACGGGCACCTCTGGGGTTTCTATGGCATGTCTAATTAAAAGATACAGTCAGAAACAGAGCAGCATAGGACAGTGGTGGTTTTCAGGTTTGATGTAGTGAAGAGTTTGTCTCAGACTAAACTATCCAGGCCACAGCACCGCTGAAGGCCAGTTTTCATTCTAGTGGGGCAGCTACAGCTCAGGAGGCAGAGCAGGTCGTCCCCGAACCGGAGACAGCCTGTGCTTGTGAGTATGAATGGGCAAATAGTGTGAAAGTACTTTGAGTGTGTTGCACTGCACAGAAAAGCTCTATACAAGTGTGAAGCCCATTTACCATTTACTCCATTTTAACTTTTCAATTAATTATAATGCACGGTATGTAAATAGCATTTGGACTGGGTTGATGTTTGCTGGTCTGATGTCACTTTGTCCACCTCATGACTGAAAACAAACAGGCACCTTCAGGCTTCTGAGGACTGAACCAGAAACATTCCAGTCATCATCTCTGCTCTGATAGTTTCTCACCATCTTTTCCATCTGGAAGGTCCTCTTCCTCCTCGTACTCGGTGTCTTCATCCACATCCACCTGCAGAGACAAACAGTCACACTGATGGTGGATCAAGTCACTGAGCCCTCATCCCAGAAACCTTTTCTCTTTTCAAAGACAAATGCTGTGTTCACATCATATTGTCTGAATGAGAAGCAGAGTGGAGGAGACTGGCTTGTAAGTCTGCGTCTGGGATATCAGGAATTTCTCTCAAGTTTAATGAGGAGCCTTAAGTACAAGTACCATGTTACACTTAAAGAGGAAGGGTTTTTCCAGCCAGTAGTCATGTCAAACAGCCATGGAGGAGCTCTGGGCAGCTAAAAGTCTGAACCAGCGGCTGCCAGGGTGAAGAGGTGGCATCTTTAGCACAAAGAGAGTGGGACAGGAGGAGCTTGTGAAGAATGTTTTAGAGGTGAAAAGAGTGTCAGACAGGGTGATGATCAGTCTGAAGTTGGAAATTGAAGGGGTAATGTTGAATGTAGTCAGTGGTTATGCTCCACAAGTAGGGTGTGAGTTAGAAGAGAAGAAGAGATTCTGGACTGAGTTAGATGAGGTGATGGAGAGTATTCCCAGAGGGGAGAGAGTGGTGA